CTCTAGGGGCTGGGTGAAAGCCCCTCAACCTTGGGGTCCAGCTCTGCCTCCTGCTCCCGGCCCACTGGAACTAGAGGCATTTCTTCACTCAGACAGCTGCTGGCTGCTGAGGCTGAGAGGCCCCAAGGTTGACAAGTAAAAAGGCACAGTCCCGATGTTACCAAACACACGACAGGCCATTAACTTAAGTCCACTGTAAGTCCCAAGGTCAGCAGAGCATGGCAGGCTGCTGAGTAATGACATGGCTACATGCAGGGTCCAAGCGTGCCATAGGCTAGAGACCATTCCCAAGGCTTCTCCTGATATACAGGAAGCAGATCACATCTCAAAGGCAGCTACTCAGCTGCTCACAATAGATACCACCATGGAGCTGATTGCCAGTCTCATCATGGGGAATACTACATCCAGCTGCCCAGCCACTCAACCAGGCCCAGCCAAGTTGACACACAAACATAACCGCCGCAGGTATCTTCTTTTAGGTTTCTTCTGTTTAGTTAGGTAACCAAAACAATTGCCAACCTTAAAAGGCCTTAGGAAGTTCAAACCTACCAGCCACTCCTTGGAAGGAAGACTAGGGAATCTACTTCCATAGAGATACCTCCTCGGAAACCTAAGGAGGGGTCGCTAGGAGTCAAAACCAAACTCGCTGCAATCGAGTTGATTCCGACACAGATTGAATAAGTACGGTGAAAGAATACAACCCTGACACGCTCCCTTCCTGATTTTAAACCATGCAGTGTCCCCTTGTTCTGTTTGAACGACAGCCTCCAGGTCTAGGTACAGGTTCCTCTTGAGCACAATTAAGTGCTCTGGAGTTCCCCTTCTTCTCAATGTTAGCCACAATTTGTTGGAATCCACACGGCTGAAAGCCTTTGCATAGTCAATAAAATAAGTAAACAGAGCTCTAGTGCCATAGTGCCTAAGGCATTTGACTCTAAACAGAAGGCTGGTGGTTCAAACCCACTAGCCACTCCTCAGAAGACTGGGAAATATACTTTGGTAGAGATGCTGCCTTGGAAACCCAAGGAGGAGGCCTTGTGAGTTGAATCAACTCGACAGCAGTGACAATTTTTTATTTTTCAAAATATCTTTCCGGTATTCTTTGCTTTCAGCCCAGATCCATCTGACAGCAGCTATGATATCCCTTGTTCCACGTCCTCTTCTGAATCCAGCTTGCACCTCTGGAAGTTCTCTGTCAATATACTGCTGCAACCGTTTTTGAATTATCTTCAGTAAGATCTTACTGTGATATTAATGATATTGTTCTATCATTTCCACATTCTGTGGGATCACCTTTCTTTGGAATGGGCACAAATATGGATCTCTTCCAGTCAGTTGGCCAGGTAGCTGTCCTCCAGATCTCTTGGCATAACCGAGTGAGTGCCTCCAATGGGGCATCCATTTGTTGAAACATCTCAATGGGTATTCCCTCAATTCCCGGAGCCTTGTTCTTCGCCATTTCCTTCAGTGCAGCTTGGACTTCCTCCGTGAGTACCATCCGTTCTCGCCCACAGAATCCCTCGATACTGTCACTCAAGGCTTCAATGTATTCCTCAGTTCTTTCAGCTTGAGAAATGCTGAGCGTGTTCTTCCCTTTTTCTTTTCTAACTCCAAGTCTTTGCACATTTTATTGTAACACTTCACTTTGTCTCCTCGAGCTGCCCTTGGAAATCTTCTGTCCAGCTCTTTTATCTTGCCATTTCTTCCATTTGCTTTAGCTACTCTCCATTCAAGGGCAGGTTTTCAGAGTCTCTGCTGACGTCCACTTTGGTCTTGTCTTCCTTTCCTGTCCTTTTAATGACATTTTGCTTTCCTCATGGATGAGGTGTTTGATGTCATGCCACAACTCACTTGGTCTTCAGTGATTGGTGTTCAATGCATCAAATCTATTCTTCGGATGGTCTCTAAATTCAAGTCGGTATAATCCAGGCCGTGTTTTGGCTTCTGAGGGCTGTTTCCATTGTCCTCAGCTCCAGCGTGCGTGTAAGCAGCGCACAGTCTGCTCCATCCACGGTCTGCTCCATCCACAGCCAGCTCTGCTCCACGGCCAGCTCCGGCCTTGTTCCGGCCCATGGTACTGACCTCCGTCGCCTCTTTCCACGGATGTACTCCATCTGATTCTTGTGGATTCCAACAGGCCAAATCCACATGTGCGGTCATCATCTATGTTGTTGGAAAAAGGTATTTAAATGACTACTAGCCGTTGGTCTTGCAAAATTCTATCCTGTGATCTCCGGAGTCGTTCCTGTCCTCAAGGCCATATGAAGGTCAGAGAAGCAACAGTTTCAGCATAATTCTGTCCATTACGGCCCGGGGCACCCCTTGCTAAATGACCATTCACTATTCATCTGACACTCACGTGTAATGGGGCTCTGTTTTCCAGGACAGGTTGGTCCAGCTTTGGCCGTTTCTCTGGGTAGCCCCTGAGCTTGTCCGTGTGCCCCGTTCTCATCTCCTGGGTCCTTTGGCACGCCCATTCACATGCCGCGTCTTTCGCTTTCCAACACCCCAAGGAGCTCCCGACTCATCTTGTCCTTTCCCTGCCCGCAGCCCAGAGGCAAGTTCCCCCAGGAGCAGGGCAGTTTTTGAAAACACCCTGTTAGTTTCCAATTGCTCTTGTAGCATATTAGCACATGCATTGTGGTTTAAACAATAGGAGTTTATTATCCTCCAGCTGTGGGGCCAGAAATCCCACAATGAAGGTGTGGGAGGGCCGTTCCTTCTGGGAGCTCCAGGGGAGAGTAGCCTGCGGCCTTTCCCAGCTTCCAGAGGCCCGCTCCTGGGCTGTGACCCCCTCCTGCAGCCCCTCCTGCATCTGCCAAGTCGGCAGCCAGCATCTCCCCGTCTCTCTGCCTGTCTGTCTGTCTCTGCTTCCGTCCGCACATCTCCTGCTCTGACTGTCATGAGGAGATGGTGTTAATGAGGAGAAACACTGTTACTTCTCTGACTACAAGGCCCCTGTGATCACATGGGTCACCAGGTGGCCCAGGATCCGCTCACATCTCAAGACCCTTCGCGTCGCCCTTCTGCAGGGCCCTTTGTCGTGTGAGACACCATGTCTCGGGTCCCAGGGCTCAGCATGGGGCTCTTTGGGACCAGTACCTGGCACCCACACCGCTTACAAGTTCTCCTCTTCTCTGTGGCCTTACTCCCACCAGGACCTCGGCCTGCCGCTCTCTCTCTCTCTCGTTTATTTCTGGCTCTTGGTCAGCTGTCTGTCCATGAGACACAGTCACTGGTTATCTTAAACCGCACACCTGAAATGTCAGGAAACAGCTCTTACCCAAGTCCTGGCGCCCCTGTGTCAGAGAACTGCCCCCCGCAGAGTCCCAGCGCCCCCGCGCGGTGTCCCAGAGGTTCTCAAAACCTGAGCTTTTGGAATCAGATGGCCGGGCCTGCCTCTCAGGCACTCCGGGAGACTCGACCCTCCGACCTTCTGTGCAGCAGCCGAGGGTGTCCCCCTGTGCCACCCAGGACTCCACCCATCCATGCCTATTTCTCCAGAGACCCCAAGAGACTGTCCCATCAGCTCTGCCCGAGCGCCTCCCACACCCGCGCCGCCGGCCGCCTGCCCCCGCCACGCTCCGGTGCGTCGCCTTCTCTGGAACGCGTCTCCTGACCACTGACTGGGACCGTCCACCCACAGTCCCTCTGCCCTTGCTGCCGTGGACCCAACCCCAGCCCCCCTCAGACCCATGTCCCCCAACCAGACCCAGGGTGGGCCGCAGCACGGCGCCCTGCTCAGTCCTCCCAAGCATGGGGAGCTGCAGGGGCTGCCTGGGAGACAGTTCCAGGTTCCTTCTGTGGCAAGTTGCCGGGCTGACGTCGCAGGACAGCCTGGCTCTGCTTGGCACAGCTGCCCCCAAGATGCTGGGATGTGCGGCCTGAGGCTCAGGAAGGGACCGGCTGGCCTCATTGCCTCGTTGAGAGCAAGGCCTGCTGCCTGCTGAGAGCCTGGGGCAGAATCAAGGCCTCAAGCCCCAAGTCCTGTCTGTAAAATAAGGTGGCAGCTTCCCATCCCAGCCCCGAGCACCTCCCCAAATCCTGGCCCCAAGCGTCCCCGATCCCAGCTCCAAACATCCCCCATCCCAGCCCTAAGCATCTCTCCAACCTCAGCCCAATCCTCAGACTGTCCCCAATCCTGGTCCCGTGTCCCCCATGCCCAGAACACATCGTACCATGCCACGGCCATGAGCTCACATGTAGTAAAAAGACTTTATTAAGAAGGCTTTGAAGTCAAAAAATAAAACTCTGGATACAATTTTCTCCCCCTTAAGTCGGCTCAGCAAATATATAATCAGTGATTTAGCTGTAAGGTCAAAGGTCCGTTATTTTATTTAAAATAAAATATATTTTTAGTTCTTAAAATTTATTCCATAAAGTACATATTTCCCTATAAATTCCCTCCATGTACACAAGAGGTAAAAAGTCAAAACAAACAGACAACAAAACATAAAAACCAAAAACAACTTTTAAAAAATTTAAAAACCGACAACAGAAACCACAGAGGGGATTCATCATTAGAAAAGGTAGAAATCTCTGGGTGGGTGCCCCTGGACCCCTACCGTCCCCCGTCCGGCCCCACACGGCTGATGTACAAACGGTGAGGGGTCGGCCCCGAACGAGGGGCCGAAATGCTGCTGAGGCCGCTTGGTGGAAACTATACCACCGACAGGGAACCGCCAGGTGCAAAAAGCATGACAACCAAACGTGGTAAAAAACCGTCTTGTTTTTCAAAAGATCACCTGGGGGGGGGCGGTGCCTTAAATGAAAAGTGCAACAGGACTCTATCTTTCTCATTTATTTCACGCTATCCACTCAATACTGCTATTTGTCACGGACCCTAGTACAGCTGGCCTGCCGGTCCGCCACCTCCACGCCTGGGATGGAGTTAAAGGTCGTTCGGGAGACACAGGGAAGCGCGGCCCCGGCCCTCAGCTCCTCTCCCGCCCCCCGGCCGGCGGCAGGCAGGGCGAGCCGGCCGCCCCCAGGCCCAGGCGCTAAGAAAAGATATGAATGGCTTGGGTGGCGGGCGTGTGGCAGGCCGGGCACTGTGGCTCACTCTTGCCACAGATGCGCATGGCACAGTCCATGCAGAAAAGGTTGTGGCCACAGGGCACCAGCGCAGCCCTCACCTGGCCCTCGGAGCACACCACACACTCCCGGGCCGGGGCCGGGGCCGGGGCCGGGGCCGGAGCTGCGGCAGCGGGGACCTCTGGCTTGCAGCTGCTCTCGGAGGCGCTCGAGTCCAGCGGGGAGCCCGAGGAGACCGAGGTACCGCTGGGCAGCGAGGAGGTGGCGGCCGAGAAGCCCGAGTTGCTGGAGAAGGACGAGAGTGAGGCCTGCGGGGGCGGCGGCGGAGGCAGCCAGGGCAGGGCACCCACTAGGTCAGGCGCGGTGCGGCGGGCCAGCGGCAGCTCCAAGCCCAGGCCACCGGGCTCGGGAAGCGTGGGTGAGTGGCGGGGGGTGCCGGGCCCGCTGGGGCGGCGGGCGGCTGCAGCGGGTGGCACCCCGTTGACGGCTGAGCAGGTGCTGAAGGCCGGCAGGGGTGTGGCCCGCTCAAAGGGGGCCCAGATGGTGGCAGCAGCAGGCACGGTCAGGTCCAGTGCCAGGAAGTCAAAACCAAAGTCGCAGTCCTCGAGGGCCCCAGGGCCATCCCCCCCGAAGGTGAAGCCGCCACCATTACCCGAGTTGCCATAGGAGCTGGGGGAACCCGTGTCTGGCATCGGGGGCCCCCCACGGCCGCCTGCGTAGAAGGCCTCGGGGCCACCAGGGGCGCCCAGGGCCCCGTCTCCGCGCAGGCTGGCTGTGGCCGCAGAGGGCCGCCGGCCTGGGTTGGGGGCTTTGGCCCAGAGGCCGGCTGCAGCGCCCAGCAGGTCCAGGCAGACGTCAGTGCCATTGGTGTGGAAGTCACTGTCGGGGCCCACGTCGGTGAAGGCGCCCGTGCGCAGCGTGATGTGGGCCTCGATCTCTTCGCGGGCGCGGTCCACATTCTCAGGCATGCCGGTGACAGCGAACACGGGCTCCTTGTCCCGGCCGGGCGTGACGATGTAGGTGTGCGTCCGCTGTTGAATGCGCTTGATGGTGGCGCCCTTGGGGCCCACCACCAGCCCCACCACTCGGTAGGGCACGCGCACCTGGATGGTGGTCTGCCCTGGCAGGTTGGGGGGCCCCTGTGCCGTGCCGGGCAGCCCAGTGGCCTTGCTGCGTGTGGCTCGGATCACGGAGAAGTGTTCGGCAGCCGACAGGATCTCGCGCTTGGCCAGCTCCACGTCCTCCTTGCGGCCAGTTACGATAAATACAGGCTCCTCACCTCGAACAGGCGTCTTGATGTAGGTGTTGGTCTTGGCACGCAGGGCCTTGATCTTGCAGCCTGTGGGGGATGGGAGACTGGGTGAGCCAGCTCGGAGCCCCCACAGCGCCCCAAGCCTCACCCCACCCCCGAAGGCTTGATTTTCCTGCCCGAGGCTCAGTTTCCCTTCTGATCCTGGGCCCTGGAGACAGGGGGCAGAGCTTCAAAGCCAGAAGGTGACAGCAACAACTCCAGAGATCTGACAGGAAGCTCAGGGATTACGTTAATGGGGGAACAGAAGGGCGACAGCGGGTCACAACCTGAATGTCATCAACCTCACTGACTTGGACGTGTAGAAACATGAATCGCATATGTTCTGTGTACAGTTTCCACAAAAATTAAAATTAAAAAAAGACAAGAAAGCTCCTTTTGTGTCAGATGGATAACACAACGTGGTCCACCCATACAGGAAACCCAAAACCCCAAAATAACCCAAGCCTGTGGCCGCAGAGGCTGCCCCATGTGTGCAGAGCTGATCGGGGCTTCGTGGGGCTTCCAAAGGCCAATCAGAAGCAGGCTCAGGGCTTTCTTCCCAGGCAGGTGCCCCGAGGTGGACTCGAACCGGCAGTCTTTCAATTAGTAGTCGAGCTCTCACCCGTCTGCACCACCCGGGAATTCAGCCGCAGAAAGAAACGAAGCTCTAAGACGGGCCCCCACATGGACAGCCCTCGAGAACACAAGGCCCAGAGAGACCCAGCCACACAAGGCCACACCGCGTCTCAACCCATGGACGTAAACTGGCCAGGACGGGCAGTCCCTGAGGCAGAGAGGGGGTCAGGGGAGCTGGGGTGGAGAGGGACTGCGGAATACCAAACAAAACCAAACTCACTGCTCAAGTCGATTCCCACACATGGCAATCTGCAATCTATAGTAGATTGCCCAGTCTTCCTTCCACGGAGCCATTGGTGAGTTTGAATCGCCAACTTTCTGGTTAGCAGTCATATGCCTTAGGCACTACATCACCAGAGCTCCTGACTGCTTAATGGGTACTGTTAATAAACCCAATGCCCCAGTGCCGTCAACAGAGTCTATTCCGACCCACAGTGCCCCTAGAGGACAGAGTCGAACTGCCCCAGAGGGTTTCCAAGGCTGTCAATCTTCACAGATGCAAAGCCCAAAGCACACCCACTGCCGTGGAGTTGATTCCGACTCACGGTAGCCCTAAAGGACAGAGTGGAACTGCCCCACAGGGTCTCCAAGGCTGTCAATCTTCACAGAAGCAAAGCCCAAAGCACACCCACTGCTATGGAGTCCATTCCGACCCACAGCGCCCCTAGAGGGCAGAGGGGAACTGCCCCCAGGGTCTCCAAGGCTGTCAATCTTCACAGAAGCAAAGCCCAAACCACACCCACTGCCCTGGAGTAGATTCCGACCCACAGCGCCCCTAGAGGACAGAGTGGAACTGCCCCCAGGGTCTCCAAGGCTGTCAATCTTCACAGAAGCAAAGCCCAAACCAAACCAAATACCGTGGAGTCGATTCCGACTCACAGCGCCCCTAGAGGACAGAGTGGAACTGCCCCAGAGGGTTTCCAAGGCTGTCATCTTTTCCTCAGCAGAACACCAGAGCCGACCTGTTGGCTGGTAGCCGAGCACTTAACCCACTGCCTCACCCAGGTTCCTATGTTATTTACCACAATATAGTTTTTCTTTCTTTCTTTTTTTTAAAGAAAGGAAGAAGGCAGGAACGGGTGGGGAGACTGAGGCTCAGCTGTGGAACAGGCGAAGCTGCCAGGCCGCCACAGCCCCAGGTAGGCCGAGGTCTCAGTGGACACTCCAGGTGCCCGAGGACGCCCTGATGAGGCCCCGCCTCTGAGGATCAGCACTGGGACACTTCTCGTGGCTGCCTCCACTGTGCCTGCCCTGCTCAAAGTCAAGTGTCCCGTCCTCCTTGCTGCCTGGGCCTGGCAGGGGTGCAACGCCCTGGATGGGCAGGAGTGTGTGTGTGGAGAGGGAAGAGCTGCTTTCAGCCCAGTGTGGCCTGCCAGGGAGGAGGAGGAGACCCCCCCAGGCTCCCAGACCAACACCACCTGCCTCTCAGTATTGTTCCAACAGAGAGGAGTGGAGGGAGCTAACAGTGTTGCTAACTCCTGGTGTCTAACAAGATACAAAGTCAGTGGGAACAACTAAGAGCTGGGGTCAGATTCACAGGCACAGGGCGCCTCAGGGCACAGCAGCGACCCAGGGCTGTGAGCAAAGGTGGGGCCGGTGACTGGGGAGTGCCGAAACCCCAGGGAGGGGGTGGGTGGGAGATGGAGGGGGCCGCGGCTCTGCTGCCCCCAGCCACCCTGCTACCCCTATACCCGTGGGTTCCCCTTGCCAGCCATGGTGCCTCACTGGCACCCCAAGCCCAGCCCCTGCCTGGCCCACCTGAGTCCTGGGGCTGCCCCCAAACCCAGCTGCATGTCCCTCCAGCCCTAGCTCCTCCCTTTGGCTTCCCTTACTGGCCAGCCTCTACTCCTGCCTCCATAGTCTGTTACACACTTGGCAGCTGGGATGGGGGTGCTTTTAAATCACCCGCCTATCATATCTCCCCCACCCTAATGCGCCCTTCAAAGGTCTCCGCTCTTCCTCTGCATCCAAATGAAGCCCAGCAGCACCTCCTCCAGGAAGCCCACCCTGACTGTATGCATGTGAAGTTGCATGCACGCGCGCACGCGCGCGCACACACACACACACACACAGAGCAGAGGCTCTCAGCCCAAGACTGACTTTCTGAGCTCCCCAAGGCCAGGATGCTCTGCTGTGAGGGCAAATCCTTCCGGGGATGCCCTAGGCACACCATGGGCCTTCCTGGGCCTTAGTTTCTTTCCCGTAAAATGGGGGCAGAAATAGGTAACAGTCTCACAGATTCAGGGCAGGCTAACCGGGCCATGGACCAGGTGGGGGCTCCACGCCCTCGTGGTCCTCAAGGACAACAGGTGGGAGGACAGTCCCTCAGCACAGCCCAGAACACTGAGGCAGCAAGGTCACTGTGCTGTGCTGCTGAGTCAGTTCAGACCTGGGGTGTCCCCATGTGAGAGAGAACTGCCCACAGGGTTCCCAAGGCTGTCAATCTTCACAGAAGCGAAGTCCAAACTGAACCCACTGCCGTGGAGTCGATTCTGACCCACAGCGCCCCTAGAGGACAGAGCGGAACTGCCCCACAGGGTTACCAAGGCTGTCAATCTTCACAGAACCCGACTGCAGGTCTTTCTCCTGCAGAGAGGCCAAGGGGAGTTCAAAAGGAGGATCTATTTGTTACAGCATGTAACCATTTTAGGGGAGAAAAGTGAGGTACAGAGACAGACAGCTGTTCTGCTGGAGGCCAGAGCAGGGGACGGACCCTGATTAGGAAGGGGGGCCTGGTCTATACTCGCCAGGGCTGCTAGCAATGGCTCCTGACACAGCGTCCCGATCCTCCGCGGCACCCAGCCCCACCATGAATCCCCTGCCTAGAGACAGGGACTCACCCAAGGTAAGGGGGGTGGAAGGCAAGTGGAGGTACCCCAACTCAGACCTGGAGTGTGGGTCACGTGAAGTGGCAAGGTATGGGGGAGGGGCCAATGGGGGCGCAGTGGGCATGTGGTGACATGGGGGGCACTAAGGACCAGGATGGTGATGGGGCTGTGGGTGGCAACCTGGCAGCACCCTCAGCGTCCCTACCTGCCGTGCCCCAGAACCGTCAGAGTGGCTGCCAGGCTGCTGAGGGCAGAGCTGGAACTTGAGCCCTGGCCCTGCTTCTCCTGAAACCCTTGGCCCCCAAGCCCCACCCTCTCTGGGACCCCACAGGGCAAGGCCTATGGAGAGGTCTGCAAAGTCAGGGTGTCCAGGTGAACTGTCTGAACGCCTGCCCTGTGCAGACAACACAGCGAGGCAAGCGTGGGGAAATAGGGGCCAGGCTCCAGGTGCAGCAGAAGGCTGGGGTCTCCCATGCTCACGTCACAGGCCGAAATGCAGATTCCTGGATCCTGCCCAGGGTTCCCATCCACCTGGGAATCTGGGTCAACTGGCCCCAGAGCTTCCTGCCCTGCAGGACCCTTCCTTCAAGGGCCACGGGTCCCCAGCCTTGAGGGGGAGGCAGCCCGATGCTGTCTGATTACTCCCACAAGCCTACTCAGGGATCCTGACTGCTCACAAGTGACCCCAGAACATAGCTATCCATGAGACTGCAGGCCATCTGAAGGAGGAGGCATGTTCCACTCTCAGCCAAGGGACCAGCAAGGACAGTTCTGGAAGCAGGACAGGGCCGAACAAGTCCCCAGAACTGCAAGTCAGCCCATCTCCCACTGTCCCCCACGAGTGGCCGGCCAGCACAGGGCAGAGCCCCACCGCAGGAGGGTGGCCAGGGTGGCGGTAGGGGTGTGTGTTCATCTTTCACTCACGGGGCACGGAGCGAGCACCTGCACTGTGGTGCACGGAACACCCAACTGGAATGCCCAGGGAACCCCTCCCCATCTGTGCCAACACCCCAGCTCCCCGGCCTGCGGGGGACAGGTGGGAGACAGCATGAACGGCTGGAAAGAAGAAGAGTAGGGGTGGGAGACCCCCCAGCATGTGATGACAGTGCCGACGAGGGGACCCTATGTGGCTTCCAGTCCAAGCCACTCTTCAGCACCACTCATTCATTCCTTACTAAAATCCCACTGTGCAGCAGGCCAGGTGTGAGCTGCCGCAGACCCAACCAAGACCGAGCGCCCAGCACTAGCCCTGGCCCTCGGAGGCAGGCAGTGGGCACCGCTGTCCCCAGCGCTGGACGAGACAGGAGGGCCTGGGGGTGATCTCGGTAGGAACCCAGGCCCAGGGTCACACCATAGCCAGTCGGCAGCTGGGGAGTCTCCGGCCGCCCCGATGACCTTGGAATGACTGTAGAGAGCCGACCCCTCACCTTGCTGTCCGAGACGCAGCCCCCAACAAGCCTATCTCGGACCAGCTCCTGCACAGGTCCAGCTTTGGAACAGGAAGTTCCTTCCCGATCCACCAGTGCCCATAGCACATGAGCAAAGCCAGAGAACTTAGGGTGTGCACCCCAGACCTGCCAGCCCGGCCTCTCTGCAATCCGGCACACGGAAGCAGGAAGCGCTTGTTGGGGGGCTCGGTGCGAGACAGGCTGACACAGGCCCCAGCACACAGTGGTTCTTCCATAAAGATTCAGCAAGAGTGAACGTATGTGAGGCTGTTAACAAGAGTCATTCTTCTCAGCCAGGGCTGTCTTGTGGGCTTCTCGGCCCGCGGAAAGGACAGGAGGGCCTACTGTGCACCCTAAGACTCTTGGCCGCCTGTTCTAAGGTTGAGGAGACAGAGGGTCCAGGAGCAGCAACAAGTGTCAGGAAAGAGTCCGTGACCCTGGTCTGGCAAGGGGGGCTGGCAGGTGGGGTAACCCCTCCTGCCCTCTGTGGGGAGGGGCAGCCCTGCATTGGGGTTTGACAGAAAGGTCCAGGAGCTCAGCCAGGTTGTGCTGCCGCCCAGGGGGTACCTGAGAATGCCGGGAAAGCGGTGAGTGGGCATCAGGTCCAGGGACCCCCAGAGTGCGCTATGCGGTGGGGCCAAGCTGGAGCACAAGGGACTTGGGAGGGTGCACTGAGACGTGTGGGGAGGTGAGCTATAGATGGTTGGAGAGCTGGGGAGACACAGGGGCTGCTGGAGACGCTAGCCTCTCTGGCATCTTGTGTAGTAAGATGTGTACCCCACTTACAACATAGGAACTAGCTGTTGGCCTGGAGCTGGGATTAGACTGCTGCCTTGCCTGAGTAACCTCACAAAAACCCTGAGGGCAGGGCTGTCCTTGGATCTCAGTCACAGGGGTCACAAAGCCACCCAGGCCTGCAAACTGAGCTTTTGGGGTACACTGTACCCAGCAAAGCCTGCCTTGCCTTCCATCCCCAGCTGTCACCCAGCCTGGTACCTAATCAATGGGGCTGAGCCTGGCACCCGTTTTGAGCCCCGCCCTGCTGCCGGTGATGTTTGGCCCAAGGCCAGGGGTCCAGGGTGCCCTGCCTGGCTTTGGAGGCCTCCCTGTGTGACTGCAGCCTCTCTCAAAGGACCCTCCGGTGCTGCTCACACACACTCACAGGGCACGTGCCCTCACCCACTGCCACCACTAGCCACTGTCGATCAGCCTGGGGACTCTGGGCAAACAACCCCCGGGCCTCGGTTCCCACGCCTGCCCCCCCCCCCCCGGGCTCCCAGATGCTCGGGTCCATTAGCTGTGTCCTGGTGCAGCTACACGGCCCAGGGCTCCAAACGCAGAGGTGGCCAAAAGGTGGTGGAGAGATTGTTACCCAGAGCTGTGCTGTGCCTACCCCTGAAGTCAGAGAGTGGCGAGTCCCACACCTGTTCCCACTCCTTTGGGCGGGCCCTAGGCCCAGCACATCTGGTGTTCATGTCCACAGGTGTCCAAGATGGACCCACTTGCATCCCTGAGGATGGGAGCTGGCTGACCAAGCTGCCCCACCCACCTGGCACAAGGGATGGGGCGTGCACTCTGCTTTGGTCCCTGCTTATGGCAGGGTAGCAGGTGACCCTCCACGCCAGCCTCCGGACCCTCCCCACAGCAGCTGGGTGTCCGGTAGCCTCGCTGGAGCCCCACCCAGGCCCCACCCCGAGTTCTAGAAGCAGACACAGGCAGGAGAGAGGCGGGCGTGCAATGGCCAGGAAGGAAGCAGAGAAAACTGGAGGCTGAGGGAGTGGGAGGGTGGGTGTGTGCTGGGTCAGGCACTGCCAACCGCCTCACCGCACTACTGTCCAGGGCCAGGGAGCAGTGCCGGCCAGACGCCACCCGGCAAACCTCGGCCCACCACACTAACAAAGGGAACAATGAGGTGGCCGCAGGGACACCCTGACCACGCTGCTGCTGCTGCCGGACCCGCGCCCTGGGCTGCTATTCGCCAGCCAGCGGGGGGAGGGCCCCATTCCAGCTTCCGTGGCCGACCCCTCCAAGTGCCCCCAAATCCCTGGCCCCTGACTGCAGGCCCACAGCGCAGTCTCCCGTTCTGCCCCACCACCTGAACGACCCCCAGGCTGGCAGTGGCATGGACCCCCTTTGTGGGCTCAGGCACCCTGCCCTGACCCCCAAGCACGAGCTGGCCCACCCCACGGCTGCTTTGGGCATGGTGCACCCACCACCCGGTCCTGGGCTTGTCCCCGCACCCCTGTCCAGCGACAGCCAGCGCAGGGGATCGGCCTGGCGGGGAGGCGCTGCCCACTGGCCCGAGTCCGCGGAGACAAAGGCAGCGCGGGGCCGGGACGCCGAGGGGAGGGACGGAGGGAGGAGCGCGGGCAGCGCCGACTCTCCCCGCGGCCGGCCGCAGGACAAAGGCACAAAGGCGGCCGCCTCGCCGGGCA